CTGAAGGGGGAAGAATCTTTTTCCTCCTACATGGTGCTTTTCTGAGATATTTGCCTCCTTCATCTTCCCACCTACTTTCATGTGCTTGCCCCTCTCTCGAGGAATGACTGTCCCTTCAGCCTGGGCTCCTTTGGGAAGAAGGTCAAGCTATACACACAACCACTGCCACATGCCTGCCTGCCTGCCTGCCTTCTTACTTTCAACCAGTTTATGGGGTTCTAATGCCTATCTGCTTCCTCGTCCTCAAATCTCTCCCCAAGTGAATTTTTATTGTTTTCCTTACATATTCTTTTCCAACAAATTGTAATAGCACCATACATTCCCTTTGACTCTGCCGAGTCGCGACCCCCCTCCCTTGGCAGGGGGTTGGACTCGATGGCCCTTGTGGTCTCTTCCAACTCTATGATTCTATGATTCTATGATTCCCTCCCCACAACTGGTATATTTATCCTCTTTCCATCCTCGTCCTAAGATCTCAGTGTTGCCCTTTAAGAACTCAGCAGGGAGGAGGATGGTGAAAAAACTAAAAATAGTTGGTTCTGCCTGTCATTGGCTGTGGCTCCACCTACTGTTGCTCTTCCTACCTTCCACCCTACCCGTCCCAAACGGAACCAGCCACCACTGGCTGTGTGTGCCCCTCAGCTTCCCCTGCACTCCATCAGCTAGCCTGCTTCTCACCTGGACTCACCCTATGGAGAGTGGGTATAGCATTATAAGAGCTTGTGGGAGAACCACACTCCTCCTTGTGATTGGGTCCAATTTCCAAGATCGTGTGCGCACACAGCTCTTTCTCTTTGCCCTGTGTCACTGTAACCTTATGTCATATCATTCCCATCTCTCTCAATTTTTGACTATTGAAAGGTTTTTCATAAACCTGGAGCCTGGTTAAATATACTAATATTGTGAAAGGCAAAAAGACCTGGATCTCTTTATTACTTACTCATGCTGCTTGGCAGCAGCCACAGAAATGCAAACCTCTCCAGTTCTTCTAATGTCTTAAGACCAGATGAATGCGCTTTCCTAGGCTTTGGGAGTTTTGTGGGGATAACCATTCATCCTCAGAAGAATATACCATATTTGTCCATGTAGAAGATGATATTTTTTCATTAGAAGTAATAGGCAAAAATTTCAGGTCATCTTATACACCGATAGCAGACAGGCAATTGTTGGCAGCAGCCAGCAGGAGATTGGCAGCGGTGATTGGGTGTGCGGCAAGGCCTTTGGGCAGGCTATTTATGACAGCGGCGAGGCGTGTGTGCAATTGTCTGGGGTTGCATCGAGAGTGCAGGTGGGCTTTTGGCGGCGAGCGTGCAGACGAGTGGTGGCCATGGCGATGTGTGCTATTTTCATTGGTGGGCAGGCTGTAGAGCATGGGTAGGCAAACTAAGGTCCGCGGGCTGGATCAGGCCCAATTGCCTTCTGGATCTGGCCCATGGACGGTCTGGGAATTGTCGGGTGGATCGCCAGCGCACACATTCTTTCCCTCTCCCTCCCTCTCCCTCACACGGCAGTGGTGGCGGTGGTGCCTCCTCCCTCCCTCCCTCCTCCTGGCTTCTCCTCGCCCTGCCTAAAAGAGAAAGGGGGCTGGGCTTTGTTGGTGCCAGCAAGCAGCAGCGCTCGAGCGGCTGCCATTTTAAATAGCCCCTCTCCGGAGCCCTTTTGCACACTGCTCATCGTCCCACCGCCAGCCCCTGCCGCTCACAAGACACAGGTGAGCAGCCACCGGGGCTTGTGGTGCTCTTGCATCTCCCCCCCCCCCAAAAAAAATTATAGTCCGGCCCCCACAAGGTCTGAGGGACAGTGGACCGACCCCCCTGCTGAAAAAGTTTGCTGACCCCTGCTGTAGAGCGATTGGCAGCGGTGACCCTCCCCTCAAAAAAGCTCAACAACTCTTGGCAATCTCCTCCCAAAGAAGCTCAATAATCTTGGGCAATTCCCCCTCCCCTTTTTGTTGCAGTTCCAAAAAATAGGTGTCGTCTTATACATTGGGGCGTGTTATACACGAAAAAATACAGTATATTCTAGAAAAAAGCTTTCTTACAAATATTTCATATCTAGTTTTCCATTATCAAATGCATGGTGGCATGGAATCTTTGAACTGCTCTTTAAGTTTCTCCTGGCTAAATACCTTTGGATGAGATGTTCAAAAAGAAATTAGCAAGACTTACAACAGCCAGTAGGATATGCACTATGCGTTGTCAAGTTCAGCTCCTTCTTTCCTTATAGAACAATTAACCACACACACACACAAAAACGCTTAGTGCAAGTTTTGTGTCAGTTTTCATGTGAGTCTAATTTCTACATAACCCTGACCTAACTGACTAATGTCTGCAGCTGGCAAGTCCTGCACTCTTTTGGCCTCCTGTGACATGCTGGCATATGAGCAATTCCACCAGCAAGAGGTAATTAAAGTCTGCTAATACATACAGCATTAGCACAGCTTTCACTGTAAGGTTTGGCTGTTAAAATAGATAGCACTTTCTTGTGGAAACTGTGTGTCCAATGTGCGTCTCAGAAACAGCCATTATCTACAATGCAATATTGGTTTAATTATTTAAAAACCTTAATTTCCCTCTGATAACCATATCTATTTTGCGTTCCTGCAGATGTCAGTGTAGTATAAAAAATACATCTTGAAATGAAAGGCTTTCAATTAGTAAAAGGCAAGGTGCCAGTACCTTTCTCTGGATACTGAGGTATGGAAACATGTGGTATGAATCTGGACCATTGCACTCAATAGCAGCAAGGAACATCTGATCTATAAGATCAGATGTAGAAGGGGAAGTAGAAGGGGAAACTGGGCTCCTCTGCCACAAGAGAGTGCAGAAGAGGAAATGTCTGCAGACACAGCTTGTTTCATGCCTGATTGATAAAGTGCACTTGGCAGAATTCAACCTTCTGCCCAGTTACTAGAGGTACAGGGACTTTGTTGGTTTTTGCATCCAGTCAAGAAGATTGCAGCAAATAAAGCAGTTACTCAGGCCAAGAGTAGCATGGTTATAGGAAAGGAAGATACAAGCATTTCTGGTTGCAGACTATCGTATTGAGGCAAAGTGAATTAACCATAAGCTGCCCACTTTACAGCTCACCCTCCAAGTTCCTACCTCCTCCCCTGTTTTCTTTTATACCCTGCTGCAGGCAGGTACAATTTATCATACAAAACAAAGTGGGGAGGCATGTTGTTAGCAAACCTCACAGCTTGGATGAATTTGACTGAAGTAATCACTTATGGTTTCTGGAGGTATAAGGCTTTATTCATGCAGACATGTACAGGGTGAGTGGAGAGAAAAAAGAGGAAAATAGCAGACATTTGTCTCAAGTTGGAAAATAACGATAAACAAAATGGTTCAGTGTTTAATAGTGGAGGTAACTTAAACACAGAGGCTCTAAGCAAGAGCTGGCTAGATCACTACAAACTCAAGAGAAGGAAATATATTTGCTTTTCTCTAACAGATCCCCACAAAATCCAGCAGGAAAACTACTGTTTTTCTCAAGAAGTGCCAAATTTCATTTGTGCCTGACATGCTTTGGAAATTTTTATTTCTTGATGAGCTTTTCTCAATGCTGACATCTTCGCATATGGGATTATTGGTTCTTAAGCACACAGTATGGAGACATGTTGTCACTAGAAGCCTCTGCCAGCTGCAGATATTTCTGTGAAAGGGTAGTCTGGCCACAGTGATCTATGCTGGATTACTACATTTGTGTTATATGTGGGGTTCCCCTTGAAGATCTCCACAATGACTTGGAAGCTTCAATTGGTACAGAATATGACTAGCAGGATTTGGAATGACGCAGTCGGGTTTGTGCAGATCCTGCCAATCTCAAAAGAAGTTACAGGATCCGAAGAGGAGTTGGGTTGCCCATTAAAAGCAGGGGAAAACAATAATGAAAATGAATGAAATAATGATGAATAACGAATGTGCTAGTAGCTTAATAAGTAATAGAACCAAGTTGTTTGTTACATAAATGAATGGAATAGCTGGATAGGGGCGGGGAGTACTTTTTACATCCGAAAAGCTATTGGAGCTACTGTGACTCGATTTGTAAGGCTTTGGTCTATTGATGGGAATATTAAACTGGGCTGAGTAATTGAAGCATAGATGGAGCCTTAAGGGGTAGAGAGAAAAGGACTGAAGCTGTTTTAAACCTAAATTAGGGGGGAGAAAATGTATGGTGAAGAAGAGGGCCTTTTCCTGCTCCCCCTCCCCCTCCAGTATCTAAAGAGCAGGTCCCTTTACAACCAGCAAAGCGAAGCAGTTGACATAGCAAGTGAATAGAGGAGCAGCTGGGTCTCCCTAGGAACACCTTTTTCAGAGTAGCAAAGTAGCTGGAAACATCACCAGCCTCTTAGGGGACATGGCAATAGCAGGTCACTTTTCATGTGCTACCGTTTGAAACGAGACAGCTTTTCTTCTAACGCCAGCTGCACTTTCTCTGCACGAAGCCACCTATCTTTTGAAGATGCTGGCACACATGACAAATCCTGTTCTTGCCAGCCAAGTCTTGCAGCTGGGATAACCAAGAGCCCTAACTTTGCTAACCACAAAGGGCACAGATTTAGAAGCAGGGCAAAAGAATAATCTAATCTTCTCTGATTAATGAGGCCACAACCCATCTTTGTCCATTCCTGTTGTCTTCAGAAACATGGCGAGCATGTTAGGGAACATTCAGAAGATATCTTCAGCAGATGGTACAGGAAGGCATTTACCAAGGCCCCATTGATTTAAGGGGGTCCACCCTAAAGTGAGAGCATGAGCCACAGTCTCCTTGCTGCCACCTGGAATGGGGAAAAGTTGGGTTGAAGGCAGTGGATGCCTACATCATGTTCTTCCTGGCTGCATGCAAATATGTGTGTCTAGTAAGGGTGAGTCTACTACAAAGCTAATGGAGCTTAAGCTTCAGGGCCCCAGAAGCGACTTTAGTCCACATTGCTTAAAGTTTTTTGGTCTAGTAGACCTGATTCGCACAATTCAAAATGATTGTTTTGTTGTTGTATAGATTTCAACAATCCCAATGTTTGAGAGTCAGTAGCAAAGACATTGTAAAGGTATGGTGATCTGCCAATGGAACAACCCCACTGAAGAAGAAAACAGTGAGTACCCAGACCTCGTTACTGGTTGTGAAGGGGGCCCCATAACAGTTCAAACTCCAGGGACCCCAGAATGTAGGTCTGCCGCTGGTGTACAGCCCTGACCACAAGGTAGCTTTCAGTGTCAAAAATACTGTGAAGTGATGTGGCGTTTCCCCATTCTTTGGGGATACGTTTGTATTGGGGGAGAGAAAGGGTTAATAGGTTGACCAATAAGAAAGCCCGGGAGCGGAGCCTACCTGATTTTGAGGCTCAGCCCAGAGGTTTTGACAGTTTGGTTGGTTCTTTTTGGGGGGGGAGATAGAGGAGTCAGAGTGACTTAGAGACAGGGACAATACTGAGAGGGAATAGAGTGACAGTGTTTCAAATATATTTTAAAACTTGTTTGTGTTTGAAATAAACTTTAATCTTCATTGTTAGCCTTACCTGACTGAGACTCAACACTTCACCGGGGAACCCTGGGTTTTTTCCACAAAACTGGTGGCAGCGGAAGAATAAAGTACCGTAGTGGTGTACAGGTCAATAGTCCATGAAACAATCGGGGGTTCTGTACAAACGCCACAAGTGGGTCTAAGCGTTCAAATTTAGGAATGCTAGATTTATCATGCACAACATTCAGTAACTCTCACAGTTTTTGTTTGGTCATACTTTCTCCTTTCCTCCTCCACATGTGACAGCTTATGGATCAATACATGCCATTGCTCTCAAATACATAGAAATATCGATTTTGCACCACTGTGGTCTTCTACTTTGCTTCATACTGATGAACAGAATTGAACGTCGTGTCACAGTAAATGAAATCCACTCTTGATCACTGTTCAATTTTATTTATTTTTACTCTGCTGTCTTATCTATACAAGCATTCCCTACCAGCTTCTCAACCTGCCTTTACATGTTTTAGACTGCAATCCTTTACCCATTTATGTGGGATCAAACATCACTGAACTCAGTTGGACTTCTGCCTGAGCAAGGATTGTGCTGTCAGTTTCCCCTGCAACTACCGTACTATTTTGAACTCTCATCTTATTTTTAAGCAAGGGGGTGTCTGTTGCTAAGTTGTCCACGATTCACTTCAGGCTGTTACATTTTAAAAAATGCATCTGGGTGGGTGGCTTAATGTTGCAGGCAAGAGGAAACTCCTGGAAAGGAAGTGGCGATGTCTTCTGTGCTTGAGGCTGCTGGTGCAAAGTAGCATTTACAGGAAATTGTTTCTGTCCACCCTGCCTGGTGAACCTGGTGGGCAAGCAGAGGCCTTACCTGTCTCTGCTTGCTTGAGTGAGCCTTTGTTCCTCCAAAGGGATGTCTTTCTGGCACACCTGATCCTTTTCCCAGTTCTTATCTATACTATAATGCACTAGAAGGTTGGGATATGGTTGTGTATGAAATGAAGCCTCCAACACAGATTACCCAAACTACCCTAGTGTCACAGATTGGGCAGGGTGGGCAGAAAACTCTCTGATAGAAAAGAGGCACAACCGAGCCTAGCTTCCTTGAGTCACAATCATGGAACCTGTAATGGCCCCCACGCCCTTCTACAGTGGTTTCCCTTATGTACGTTGAGCTGGGACTGTAGCTTATTCCTTCATCCCCACAGCATTCTCCTCCCTTCTGAGTGTGTGAGTCACTGCTGTCTTTTGGTCTCCTTTTTTGATTCCTTCACAGCACCAACCATTGCTGTGCAGTGGAGGGGCACCTTGTCCTCCCATCTGTACATTCATCCCTGGTATCAGCACTTGCTGATGCTGGGAGAGACATGGAGCTTGAGCTACATTAATCTCAGCCATACTGGGCCAGCACTTTGCTTGTAGCAATATGCTAATTTTGCATGTTGTAAAAGTGTTTTTTACACACACACACACCGTGGGTTATTTATTTCTATCTCTAAGAAGATGGTGGAGTCGGTCAGAAATGTTTAAGATGTGTTGATTCCATTGAGTCGAGATGGTCTGGCTATGTTTTATCTCGCCATAAAAGTTAGAAGTACTGTATTTTTTGCTCTATAAGACTCACTTTTCCCTCCTAAAAAGTAAGGGGAAATATGTGTGCGTCTTATGGAGCGAATGCAGGCTGCGCAGCTATCACAGAAGCTAGAACAGCAAAAGGGATTGCTGCTTTCACTGCGCAGCAATCCCTCTTGCTGTTCTGGCTTCTGAGATTCAGAATATTTTTTTTCCTGGTACGTCTTGTGGTCCGGTGCGTCTTATAGAGCGAAAAATACGGTAATTCCATGGATTGCGTTGACAGCATGAAGTGTGAAACTCTACTCGTGACAGAGCTTGGTGTTAAGACTTGTCTGACTCTGCACTTAAGATGGGTCACACACCACCAATGATGTCTCCAAAGCAGGGCAAGTCCGGTTGTTACACCGCACCCACATAGCAAGCAGATATGCCAGCAAAGACAGCTATGACCCGATGTTTATTCTTAATTATTTGGAAAAGCGCTCAGAAATGTTTGGATGGGAATGAGCACCTTTATGATTTTGCAGTGAAGCAATCTCTCAAAGGGCTCATTACTGGACAGGAGTGCAAGTTATTCCAAAAGGTATGGTTTATATTGTGGCTGTGCATGTCAGCAGCCCTACGGGAGGCAAGTAAATAAAAGGACAAAGGAACCCATCATGAACTTACTTTGAGCTATATTTCCAACTGAAAATGGAAAGCATTCAAAAGCACCCATTAATAAATATCAGTTATATTTCAGATCTTGTTAGAGCACTTCAGTCTGTAGCCTTGAAACCTGAAGCAAGAATGAGGTTAATGCTTTGTGTTCAGACAGTTGCCCTAGAAATGGATAAATATTTCACATTAACTTGCGTTCTTCTGCCAATTTTTTGTCAGAGGGACCAGGGTTCAGAGATGTAGCATTTGTGAATTACCAGGAGTGAATGTTCTCTTGCTTTGACCTTTGGAAATGGCTCCAGAGTGATTGGCTGGCTATCCTTACCCTTTCCCCAGAGGTCAGCAAGGTTGTAAATATAAGAGCTATGGAACAGCCAGATAATCAAATTGAGACTCTTCCACTGCAATGCAGGGTTGTCACAAGAAAGTGAAATCTTATCCTCAGCAGAGGCTGCCTTTCAAGAGCACTCTGGCAGTCGCTGTAATTGTCTACTCCAACGATGTGTGCAATTGCACCACATAAGGAGACTTGTGTGTGCGTTTCTAAAATTTAGTACCTCAAAATACAGTGCCATTTCCTATTTGAAATGTTGGGTGCTGGAAGCAGGAGAGGGAAAAAAACAGCCCCCCAGCCTCTCAGAAAAGATGAATGAAGAAGTTCCAACTCACTCATAATGCTTGTTGCTCCATCAAAGAACAGCATGAGTGGTGGTGTTGTTTTTTACAAAAATGTAGCTGCCTAGCCAAAGCAAAGTACTATAAGACAGTGGTGTATCCTTATAGTTTGCAGTTTGTTCTGTTTGTCTTATGAAGCGTATCTCTTTAGAAATGGATGAGGGAACCTGCAGCTCTCCAGTTGCTGTTGGACTCCAACTCCTATCATTCCCAGATAGCACAGCCAATAGAGCTATAATCCAAAACCATGTGGAAAGCCACTGATTCCCTGTCACCACTTTAGAGTCTCTGTAGCCTGACCCTTGGGGATAGACTTCCCACTATTCTCAGGGAGAAATGGAAGGATGAAGATTGAGAAAGAAGGAGTATGGAGACTGGAAAGTAGACAATGTAACACCAATTTTTAAAAAGGGATCTGGGGGGAAACCAGGAAATAACAGACTTGTTAGTGCAATGCCTGTCCCTGGAAAACTGGTGGAAAGTATTGTTAAAGCATATAGAAGAACAAGCCATACTGAAGCAGAATCAGCATGGCTTATGCAAGGGAAAGTCCTTTCTTGCAAACCTGTTAGTTATTTGAGAGTGTCTACAGGCATATGGATAGAGGTGATTAGGGGTATGGAATCCAGCAACATTTTGTAGGCCATAGGTTCCCCAGCCGTGCTTTAGGGGAAGCTTATTTGATAGAGCTCATACTTTCAAGGCAGAAAGTCTCAGGTTCAAATCTAGGCATATCTAGGTAGGGGTGGCAAACCCGGGACATGCACTACCTGTCAGTGTAGACAGTAGAGAGCAAATGGACCAGGGGTTTTACTTTTTGTAAAGCAGGCTTCCTAGCACTGAGAAACCCCAACTCACCTTGTTGTAGACTGCCATCCCCTTAACTTATCCTTAACCCACCAGTGGATTCCTATAACAGAAAAATCCCATAAGTTCATAGCTTTTATCGTTCCAGAAATTTTATTCCCATGCAAAAAATTGATTTGGCTTCCGCAGCATCTGCATTCCATAATGTAAGGTGTCCAACATCTGGAGAAAGCGGGCGCATTAAAATTTTCCAAAATTACATTCTGGTGTGCAGCAAAGAGGAACCTGAGCATGGCACAATTTAATAAGGCGTCCCATAAGAGTTTCAGTAACGTGGGCACTATCAACGAGACAGAGTGTCAGTTTTAGACAGACACGGTGTAGTTTGTAAAGCATTCTCCGGCGGGCATGCTGCCAAAATAAGACCTAGCAAAAGCCATTTGTGAAGCACAAAGATCAACTTCGATCCTTCTTGGGGCTGAGCTAGTCCTGCTCAGAGCTAGTGCAGCAGTTTGCCATTGACAGCCCCTTTGTGTTGCCTCCTAAAGACATACGTGAAATTTGAGGGGGATGCAGAGTGCCAAGAGTTTTAAGGAGATCCAATGTTGCATTTCCACCAAACAGACTTTAAGCCCTTTTCACCTTAAGAAGCAAGCAGTTGTCGCTGAAGATGCACCTGAGTGTGTCAATTCAGCTTGGGGGGGGGATTTACCATTAGCATTCCAACCCCTTTCTGACTCAGGAGAATCTTGTTCAGGCATCTATAAAAAGAAGTTTCGGCATATTTCTGGGCAGTCAGGCTTTTTGTTATTTATTTGCATACACCAGTCATCCCTTCCCTTCTCAGTATATGAGGAGCTGGTCAAGTCAGCCCAAGGATTGCTAAATAGGCTGCAAAAT